TTTGAAAGAGATGTATCTTTGGTCTGGAAACTGTTATTGAGTATGTTAAAGCTATAATGAAATGGTTTTTCTAAAAAATTAAAAAAATATATATAGTGAAAAAAAAGGTTTTGATTTTCATGACGTTTTTCAGATTTTTCTCTTATTAATCATACTTTTGGAATCAAGTCTGAGAGTTACTCTTTGCCTAGTCATATAACCTAAAGATTGCCTGTTTCTTAAAATATTTTGCTTATTTTTATTCTATGTGTATAAATGTATTGCCTGCATGTATGTAAGTTTACCCATGTCATGCAATGCCCATGGAGGTCAGAAGAGGACATCAAATTCCCTGGACCTGGATTTACAGATGGGGATAGTTGCTAGCTGACATGTGGGTGCTGGGAGTCGTACCTGGGTCCTCTGGAAGAGGAGCCAGTGCTCTTAACTGCATAGCCATCTCTGCAGCCCAAGATTGCCTGTGTTTTTTCCCGTTTTCTTTATGAAACGTACTGTTTTGCTTTGTTATTCTTATCTCTACTTCCTTTATTTTAGTATTCTTTCACTCAGTCCCATATTGTAATTTTCAGGAACTCAGGGAATGTTTCATGAGAGTCATTCCTTTTAGACAAAAGGGGTCTTGTATAGAGTATGTAAATTATGAACCTTTTAGGGAAGGTCTGTGTTTGTTAAGACAGCTACTGTGATATCTGTGTTCATGCTAAGCGTCTACTGAGCCTTCACTTTTTAAACTATGTCCAGTTTTCAGTATGGGTGTGCTCTCTTTCTTTTCCTTAAAGTGAGAGTTTTGTCAAGTTAAATGTATAGTGATTAAGACATACCTACTTCTAAGACCTTGCCATGCAAGACAGTACATCTCTCTTCTGAAACTGTGTGGTCGACAGTGATCCCAAAGCCTTTCCTACCTTCCCTCAAATACTTCTTTTAATTGCCCCTGCAGAGGGGAATTTCAGTGGAGAGCCTAGTGCTTATGCTCTCAGTGTTTTGGGTGTTAATGAATCATCTGCACCTTTTATGTGATAGGAAAAGCTTGATGCTAGTTTATAACTTGAAGTGTAGTGTGTTGTTTGATGCCAGAACTCTATACTTTTGTCTTATCCCAATAGAACAGTAAAGTACTTCAGGGTCTTTTCTAAACTGTAAGTTATGGTCCCCCCCCATTCCTGCTTTCCTTTGATCTCTTTGTTTACTCAGGTATATTCTTCAGTCTCTAAAATAACGGCTGAAGCATATACTCAGCCTTAAGGTATGTTGAACAGTATTGGGCTTGGAATATAGTTGGAGGTATGAATATATTTTATCAGCGCAAGTTTGTCCTTTAGTTTTATTTCCTGCTTGCTTCATGTGTTCATGAGCATAAGCATCTCATCACCTTTCATGATGTGAGAAAAACATCATCAGTGGAGTCCTCAGTTGACAAAACCCCACCTGAAGTTTCTTTTCTTTCCAGATTTGTTCATTCATTTGGACTAGACAAGCTTCAGGTGGCTGTTGCCTCTGAGAATCTGAATTTCCTTTTTTAAAAAGATTTATTATTGTTGTTTTTATTGTATGTATATGTGTATATGGCCATGTGAGTGGATGCTTTGTGTGTGTGTGCGTGTGTGCATGCCCGTGGTAGCCAGAAGGGGGTGTCAGAGCCCTTGGAGCTGGAGTTACAGGCAGTTATGACGTGAGCTACAGATATGGGTGCTGGATATGGTAATCGAACTCAGGTACTCTGGAAGAGCAGCAGGTGCTCTTAACTGCTGAGTCATCTCCAGTTCTGAGAATCTGAATTTCTTTCTGATAAGATGTAAAAGACATTGACAGAACCACTGTGGTTCAGCAAAGGAAGCTATCTCTTCACACCTGGTCTTTTCTACTATGTAAATGAGTCTGTGTGGTTACAGGACAATTCAGTGTCTTGGAGACTGGATTATTTCTACAAATATGAAAGAACACATACCCCATGAAATACCACGCTGATGGATTCATTTCCTTAGGCAAAGTGAATTATGTTGCTAATGTATCATGTTCCTTCAGCACAGCAGAAGATTCTTACTGCAGAAACTATACAGCACTCAGAAAGTGGGCTCTCATAGACTCTGTACAACTCTTTACAAGTTTATTATTATTTTCAAGTTTTAATGATATGCACCACAGATAGACAAGCGCTCTACCACTGAGCTAAATTCCCAACCAAAAAAAAAGTAGGCAGGGAACACAGAGAATAGTTCATAATGGCCTGTCTCAAGGCTTATCCCAGTTGTGGCCGACAGTTGCATTTTGTTTGGGTAAGTTCGTTGCTCAAGATCTGAAGATAAGTACCAAAGATGCTCCAAGACAATGCCATGTATTACATTTCATCATAGTAGACTTTTTAGTGTACACATTAACTAGCTTATATGATCATCAGCTTCATTGGTTGATAATATAAAATAGAACTTCTGGGAGTTGATATGATTTTTTTCCCCTCGTTGCTCAGTGAAGGGCTAAGGAGAGAACCCAGTTCCTAACTACTTGATCTTCAAGTGACATTAGTAGTCACAGCAGAGCCCTGGGTATTCTATTTCTGACCCAAAGCTCATTAGGTTTGAAAGCGCTGCTTATTATTTACCAGTCGCTATTGATACACCTTTACTTACCATCACACTTAACACTCCAGGTCTTTCATGTGGTGCTCAAAGTCTTAAACATAAAAACAAGCCAAAACAATACTCTTGTCGTCTAGGCAAGTCTCCTTCTTTTCTCTTATAGAAAAATATTTCATGATAACAACACAAAAATATGTGAATGGTAACTGAAGAAGCATGTTTCCTCCTAGAAAACCACTGGCATTTGCATAAACCACTTGACTGTCTGGTATATGCTGATTTGCCTTGTCAGTCTCTGGGGGCCTTTAACTTTAGGTTCTTTATGTTTTTCTGGGTAAAGAAAGTTCTAAATTGGATGATGGATGCTTGTTAAATTCTTCAAGTAATGACAGTTTGTGAATGTATTAAAACCAATAAATTTCTGCATTGTTATAAATACACAAAGAACATGAAAAGCCTTGAAGGTTTTTGTCACTGTGCTGGGCATAGCTAATTAATTGCCTTTCATACTACAGAGATATATTAAGGGTAAATATTCAAAATCTACCAAGTTGAGCTTTGGAAAGGAAGTTTAAAGGATCTTTTGTTACATTTTTAAATATCCAGAAGATGCAGCGGCAGAAACCACAACCTAGTTGTGTGTAATCGATCTAATGGAGTAGATTGCATGAAATGGTTTGAGGAGGAGATTGATACAGCACATTCTTGGTATTATGCTGAGCCCCAATTTTGGAAAGGTAGATGAAAGTCTTGTATTTACATGTATGTCCTACTGGTAGTGAAATAGTAGACACCGCTGAACTTCTTCGTTGGTATTTATTATTTATCAACTGTAACATAATTTAATAAGCTTTGCATTGCTGAAGCCTAGCTTTGATACACATTTATATAAGTTGTAACGATACTTTTTGTGTATTTACTTTTTCAGGCACAAGTAGTGCATTTCATCTGAAATAGATACCTAGATGAAATTTTTGTTTCCGTTCAGTCCTTCTGTTAGCATCGTGCCATATTTGGGATAGTAATGCACATATCTCTTAGGTAACATAGTGTATTCAAAGTCAGAGTGGTCACAATAATAAGATATTTGTGTAGGCAGAAGACAGAATATTGAGACTATCTGTCCTCCTTCTCTCCTCCTCCCCCCTCCCCCCTACCTTCACTGGAATGCAGCATCTCCTAAGGTGCATACTCAATCCTCATAGCAGTCCTGTAAGGTTCTTGTTGCTTCACAGTTCCTTAAAACCCATGGGTTCTCATGTGTTTCAAATTCAGAGTATTTTGGAGCTTAGAAAGGAAGGCAGTACATATGCCTTGTATTATACAAATCTCCAGTGGGGCTGGGCAGATATCTCCTGTGCAAGCCCATTAGTATTTCTTTTGGGAAACATGAATAATCACACTGAATAGAATAAATAAAAGCCGTAAATCCTCTCATGTGAATTCAGATCAGGTCTTGCCAGTAATTGGGTTTGAACATCGTTTTAAGAAAATACTTTTGTTTTCTCTCCTTAGCTTTTTGGTATTTAAGAACTGAAGTTTGAGCAATAAGACTGAACCATTTACAGTCCCTTTTTCCCAATAAAAGGAAAATGAGTTTGAGAGCCGTCAAGTAATTTGCCCAGATGTTATAAAGCAAGGGGTAGAGCTGAGCTGTGACTGTCTATCTGTTGGAAAGATTAGGCCAGATCTCTACTTACTAAAGTGTGATGTGCTCATGTAACTTGTTACATTGAAAAGCTATTCATTCTTCTTTAGCACCAAAATATCTGCTTATAAAGAATAGCATAAGGCTGGGCATGGTGGTGCACGCCTTTAATCTCAGCACTTGGGAGGCAGAGGCAGGTGGATCTCTGTGAGTTCAAGGCCAGTCTGGTCTATGTAGTGAGCTCCAGGCCAGCTGGGGCTACAGGACACCCCGTCTCAAAAAA